TGCCTGGAGACCTGGGGAGGAAAGGCAAGAGGTAGGAAACCATGGGTTGCAATGATGGGATCTCCTTGGTGCCTCCCTCTTCCAATGGGCAGAGCGACAACCCTGCTTTATAAAGTGCCTAATGCCAATGAGACTAACTCCTGGGTGTCAGGCCACCAGCCACAACAGAAGTCTCCAGCAATACTAAGGATGAGATGTACCCTCCCACAGAGACTACAAGCCACTGGACCTCCATTACCATCCTCATCTTCCACAGTGCTTGTCACACACGCTGTCAGTTGGGACCCAGCACTCAGCTCTGGCCACGCTCATCACCTACTGGGTGAGTCCAGGCGTGGAGGGAGATGGGAGTTTGGGGGCTGGCAGGGGAGTGGTTTCACCTTTGCTAGCTGCCCTGTGGTGAGCTGGAAGGTCTGGACTCAGATTTGCTGTGCTCAAGCACAGAATTTCACTTCAGCTGTATTAAAGCACATCCTTACAGGCATAACTTCATCCCAGCTGTGACTTGCTTCACCTGTGTCCTCCCCACACTCTGGCAGGGGTGAGCTCAGCTCGCCAGCCCAGCCTTTGCTCCATCCCACTCCAAGCTGTTTAGGCCTTGCTTGACTCATCTGCACCCCTCAAACACCATTTTGGCAGTGTGTGCCGTGGAGAAGTGTTGTGCATAGGCATAGGTGTAGGGAGGCAGCCTGAGCCAGGCAGAGCGGGTCCAGGGGGATCCAACCACCCACCTGTGCGCCTGGTCGCTCCAGCCTCCTCCTGGGATAAGGTGGGGAAGTCCATAACGGGCTGCACTGGCAAGAAGCAACTCCCTGTGGGTCTGTCCCTCCCTGAGACTTGTATGAAGTGACAATGTTTAGAATGAGTTTATGTCCTGAACCCCTGGCAAATGGACAGGGACCCTCTGGTTGCCCCTCGGCAGCCAGAGGATAGTCCTGTACAAGGGACACCGCCCGGCCCTCAGTAAACTGCATTAAAAGGAGTGAGCGCACCACTTTCTGCTTGGGCACCTCTGGCTGTCAGCAGATGCCAGTGACTTGACTGCAACCTGCTGCAAAGGAGCAGGCAGAAGGCACGTGAGAAGGCACGTGAGGACCCTCAAAGACAGAAAGGCCTGATGGCTTCTCAGGTTTTCAGAGGATGCTGTGAGAAGACAAAGGCACTGGTGGTGTAACTCCACCCGCAGCAGGTGTGCGCAGCGGTGGTGCATGTGACTGACATCTCCCTCCGGTACGTGCTTCCAAGGAGATGCCTTCATGCTCAGGGCACGCTGCCTGCAGTGTGCCTGACCTCGCTCCTCCTCGCTCACCATCGCTCTTCCCCCTCCATCTCCTTGTCCTCCTCCCAGCCATTTCCCTTCCAGCCCCTCTCTCAGGGCTCGGGGGGGCTCCAGCACCTTTCCCCGTCGGCAGCCCCTCCAGAGCAGGGCTGCTGCTCTTCCCCCTCCATCTTCTTGTCCTCCTCCCAGCCACAACCACCGCCATTTCCCTTCCAGCCCCTCTTTCAGGGCTCAGGGGGGCTCCAGCACCTTTCCCTGACGGCAGCCCCTCCAGAGCAGGGCTGCAGACTGGTGCTCCCTCACACCCTGTGCCTGCAGCGCCAGGAGCTGCGCGTCCCCGACGCTGACGCTCACCCGCCCCGCACAGGCGCTCGGCCGTTTCAGCACACCAAGGAAGCTCCTCTTGCCCGGCCCAGCGTCCCGGGACGTGTACACTACCATGGCCATGTCCTGCGCAGAGGAGCTGGGGTCTGGCCTACATGATGGAGCAGGTGAAGCCACAGCACTCCTTGAGCAGGGTGAGGCCTGTTTTGCTCATATACGGCGTGGAGGTTTGCTGGCCCCTGGAAGTCATTTTCTTCTCTTTGACAGGAGCTATGGAAAGAGAAATCGATGTCTGCCTGGTGATAAGGGCACAGGCCCATCACCACTTCTTAGAGCTCCTTTCAGGGCTAAGGTGCTGACCCTCCTCAGACCCACAGCTGGGAATGAGCTCCTGCATCCAGGAGGCACATCACCATGAGTGCTCCATGGGTGTCCACAGGCAGGACACAGGCAGAGCGACCCCAGGCTGGAAAAGCCGCCCACTGCACTGGGGACTGTTCCTCCAGCACCAGCGGAGGCACAGGGAAGAGGCTGGCCTGCCATCAGGAGCCACAACAGGAGCACTGGATGGATACCACAACACCTGACCTTAGGTACCAGTGTGATGAAATGTAAGGAGCTGGTTGGAAAGGGTCAGGTGAAGTACACCGGCCATAAAAGGACACTTGCCCATACCCATTCTCATAGGACATGGCAGCTGGGAAATGCCAGGGAGGCAAATGGATGAATAGCATCCATACTGATTCAGGGTGTTTCCACAATCTGATCTCAAGCACCAGCATCCCCCACTTGCCATTTCCCCACACCCTCCTCCAGCAACAGATGGCCTCCAGATAGCCCCATAAAGAGCAACAAAATCTTGTGGACAGTACTTGGGAAAGGGAAGAAACTACCAGGGAGGTTCAACACAAGGAATAAAACTCATCAACCACCTACTTGCTTTCTGGAGGTAGCTTTTGGAGAGCTTACTTTGCAGGAACTCTGCCATTTCCTTGTCTTCTTCCCTTTCCCTGTGACAAAGAGATTGGTTACCACTCAGGAAAGGAGCAGCAAGACATCCAGGAGCATCTGGCAAGCCATGATACAGATCAGAAGACAGACTGCACCATTCTCAGTGCAAGGAATAAATTGCACCCAGCTACCTGAGCCTCTCAAACTCCACATCGTCCACAAGGAAATCCCGTGTTTCCACCAGCTTATGGATCTGCTGTACCAGCTCCTCTTCCCTCTGCTTCTCTTCGTTGGACTTCTCATTCTCTGCAGCACAGGGAACACATTTAACATATCAACAGGGGCTGTCCCACCTGTGCCAAGGCCTGTCTCGCTCTACTTCTGCTCAACCCAGGAGCAGAGGGTGGGAGTAAAAGCCAACCCAAAGTAAGCACCTGGATTCAGATACAGGCTGCTAAATAAGGAACCACCTCATCCCAAACCACCCTGGTTGGGAGGAGACAGATCTGGTGTGATCAAACTTTGAATTTTTAGCTTCTCCCCCAAATTTTCATGTGGCTGAGGACTGTAAGATGCAACTATGAGCTTGGCAGAGCAGAGAAAGGGCCCTTCAGCAAGGTGATCTCTTTGGTGGGAGACGGCCATGGCTCC